AGCATGCCTTAGAAGCTTGGATCTGTAGTTTGGAGCCTCTACATGGCTCAAATGAGTCTATATGGCAAAAAGGACTGAAGAGACTCGGCGAGTCGCATGGTCGACTCGGCGAGTCATATGAAGATAGGCATGAACTCGACGAGTTGGAAGAACAACTCGGCGAGTCCGTTGGAGATTGCCATAGACTCGACGAGTTGTATGAACAACTCGGCGAGTCGGATGAGATTTCCCCAAGTTATGTATGCGTGCGTATCCATCGAGTTGCATGAAGGAAACTCGACGAGTGACCGTAGAGTTTCGATCGTAAACCGAAGGAACTCGACGAGTCACCCCGGTGACTCGGCGAGTGGGTAGGTACTTCAAGGAACTCGACGAGTAGCCGAGGGTACTCGGCGAGTTAGGGTCAACATGGACTGTTGACCTTGACTGAGGACTTTGACTTTGACCAAGGGTTGACTAGTTGGTTTTATGGAGTACCTTGTAAGGTTGAGGACTTATGGGTATATTCGTATTATGGTAATAGGTGGTGGAGTCTTTGGTAAGTGATCCGAGAGTTGGAGTTTATCTACCGAGTCGACATCTGCAAGGTGAGTTATCCTCACTATATCAAAAGGGTCTAAGGCACCAAGGCCGACCCTTTAGTTGTTATGGTTATGATATGATATATGCAGTTATGATCTGATAGATCGGAATCAGGATAGACAGTATATTATGCTTTTATGATCCTTAGGGATTGGTATGTTAGTGGCCTGCTAGGTCGGAGCTCTAGTTATGAGAGATTGCTATGATTGATGATCAGTAAGATAGATATATTTTTGATGTTTGTATATGTCAGTATATGTTAGTTATGTACACATGCTTATTTGCTCGTTGGTTGGGTTGAGGCGGTCCTGCTTTGTGCTGAAGGCCAACATACCCTATGAGCGGTCCGGGGAGACTGTAGGCCCACGTGGCGGTCCAGTCATGCCGAAGGCTCGGTATAGATTCAGTTAGACTGTAGGCCCTGTAGGGCGGTCCAGTCAGGCCGATGGCCCAGTATGCATGTTGATTGATTGATTATTACGGATATGGTATTATCAGTGTGGTATTGGTATTTTGGGGGTAGCTCACTAAGCCCTCAGGCTTACAGTTTTCAGTTATTGTTTCAGGTACTTCAGGAGATCATGGCAAGGCGAAGGCGTGACCGTACCGCTCCTCGTCCTTATGATCTGGCTTTTGGGACACTCTGATTGAATAATGATTTGAAAACATTTTCTGTAAACAATACCATTGGGTTTTATTTATGATTGAAAAAGTTTAAATTTGGCGTAAAATTTATGGATGTTACACCTGGAATAAGATTCGAGTATTGGATTCAACCCTCGCTCATCTGAATCACTTCATGGATTTTATCACGAGTGATCATGAGACGATAATATCTTATATTCTTGAAACAGAGACATGTGAGTTGTAGTTGCGAGTCGCTTGCACATTGACATATGTAAACGCACCAGTAACTTGGATGTTATAAAACATATTGTTGTGTGTAATTTTGATGAGTAAGTACAAGCGAGCATTTGGGTCGAAGTTTATTCGTTCCTTTTACCCCATGTGGATAAAAGTGATATCTGTGGGCCCCTCGATGATTTAGTGATGACACCAGGCCTGAACTGATTTGATTTGTTCAATTAGTCGGTCATCATAAATCGGAAATCAGGAAACAACAGATGGACAGAGAGAATGATTAAAACCCATGTCTCAGTCCATATGATATCTAGAATGGAGGAATATATGATCCCTTATCTAATGGACGCGTCATTGACTAGGTTAGAGTTCGACAACGGCTTTTAAGAGGTACGATTGCTAGTCGGGTTGTGGAGTCGTACTTGAAATTAATAGTTATTAGACTTATCCAAGTGGGAGACTGTTGGATTAGTGTCTAAGTCCATAACTATAATTGGTATGTACTTGACCCGAGAGTAGCATGGTCCATTTGGGTTGCATGGCACCGGAACAATGGATAATTGAGAAGAGGTTATTTATGGTTTATTAATATATTATAAGTTCTAATATATTAATATGAAATCATATTATTTAATTAGTATTGATCAAGAATTAATTTGGAATTAATTTTGTAATCAAAAGAGACTAATTAAGTATATGAGGATTGATTGTGTAAATCATTCATTCTTATAAAGTGGGCTTATGATCTATAGTTCTTTATGTTGGGCTAAACCCATGAGGTGACCCATGGATACTCCATGGAGGTTAAAACCCATGGAGCCTAAGGAATGTGGAAAGTCATGCACATTAGGGTTTACATGGTGTAACCCTAGTTGTGTCACACTATATAAGAAGCCTCATAGCTACCAAAATCAACACCTAAGTGAGTTGCAAGAGGGCTAGCCGATTTTGTGTGTGCAAGGGATCTCTTCTCAAGTTCCTCCATTGTTGGTGGTGTTGTGTGATTCCATTTGAGGTGCAACACTTGGGGCACTAAGTTCTTAAAGGTCCAAGGTTTCCAACTACACTAAAAGGTATGTCATCTAAATTGTATTTCATGTTGTTTATACTCCATTGTATGCTAGTTAGGATGATGCTTTGGAATTATAAAAGTTTGCATGTATATTAGAGAAAACATAGATCCAAAGCATCTAGGGTTGCATGTACACCATAGGAGTGTTAGAATGCTCAAACCCTTCAATTCGGGCCCTCACTCGTATCTGGAATGCTCCCGAGACCTCAGTATGAGTCTGGCATGCCAATTGGCCCTGAGCTCATATGTGGAATGCTCCCGGGTTTGTTGGCTACAACACAACGTAGTACAACCTCAACCCAACACAATATATCGACATATACATAACAGATAAACATATAATCAGCCCACCGACAAACAGGCAGATCTACCAACATCCTATAAACTAGGATACAGATCTAACAAATCACTACAACATAACAACATACGGTAAATCAGGATATTAATCCAATGGGCCGACCTTGGTGCCTTCGACTCGAAAGTACAGTGAGGAAAACTCACCTCTCAATCTGAAGAATAGCTGATGTCCGATTCTCAGCTCTAACCGTCACCTATCCAGCCAAATGACCAATTCTCAAACACAATCCAAAATACCCAAAATACCCTTAAGTCAAACTTAGTCAAAGTCAACACCTAGCCGAGTCAACCCAGCCGAGCCAACCCGACTGAGTAGACCCAGCCGTGTACGATGAGCGTACCCTTCTATACGCGGGGTGTACTCGGTGTTTGACAATTTTACGGGGCGTTGACCGCGTACGCGCAACGTACCACTTGGTACGCCCAACGTACGTGCCCTATTCAACCATTTTTCCATTAAGAACTTAATACTTCACATCTTCACGTCCAAAGTCAGATCCACAGCTAAAATACCCTCATGAGTCATAAAGTTTCCAACTTTATGACTTTGCATGCCCATTAAGTGCTTAAAACACAAACCCCTAACATCTTAATGTATTAAGACCCTCCATAGCATGTATGGAGTGAAACTAACCCTCAAGACTACATTTTTATGACTCAAGACCCCTCATAAGGTCTAAAAGGACGACTTATTGGGTCAAGAACATGCCATGCTCAAGAATCACCATTTTTGGGACAAAAAGTGTCTTAAAGGAAGAAATGTCTAGATCTACAAGATGGAGTGATCAAGATGTGAACTTTATACCTCCTGGAGGTTGCTAACAAGAAAGAAATCCCAGATCCAAGATGCTTCCAAGTTCCAAGCTCTTCTCACCACCTTCATCTTCTTCAAGAACACCTCCAAAACACTCCAATGGCTTCAAGATGCACTATTTTCACTTAGGGTTTACTTAGGATCTTTTTTCACAGAGGGAGGCTGATGAAGAAATGAGACATGAGGCTATAATGAGGTTTAAATATAGACCAAACCCTAAAAATAGGGTTTGCCATGTCTTAACGTACGACCCGCGTATGAGGTGTACACCCAACGTACTAGGGCGCACCCTAGTACGCTTAGCATACACAACGTATGCTCAGCGTACAACACTTGGGCAAAGTTTCCACATTGCCACTATGGGCCAATCTAGCAACCTTTCTCAACTCAAGGGTCAAAATACAATATAATTCAAACATAGGGTTGAAATTGAAATTACCTTGACATTGGGATGTTACACCATTTATATCATTCCTGAAATAGCAACATACTTTCAATTTGTTGTTTTTTTGTTTTAAATAAGAAAGTACGTTACTATTTCTTGATAACACATGTTATAGCAGCCATCCGTGAGGGGATGCATAGGGTTCTGTATCACTCAATAAAACTACATTGCTATTTCCTTGCATGCCCCTCCATTATAATGGCTTGATGACAATTATACCCTCTATACAAACAAGTATATACTAAAAGTACATTGATATTTCCTCTAAACATTGTTAAAATCAAAGTCAAACTACAGCTTACCATACATACTAAAAGAAGTACATTGCAAAGGCTTAAACATATATACTGCATCATTAATTTCACTAAAAACACAACAAAAAGCATGATTATGAACCACTTCTGAAATCGTAATTTCCTACTCATTTGTGCCAATTCCTTACTTAAACTAATATATTCCTTATTTGCCATCCCTTTGTGCTCATTGAAATCTTTTTCCAAAATTGATATCCTCACTTCAATGGAATATACTTTTATTTATGTTAATCTCTCTTATTCGTGTTTCTTAGTCCTTCATCATCATCAACCCATTTCCAAAGAGAACAATTTGGTGTGTTTGGATCCTTCATATGCAGAAAAAATAAATCGATTAATTAACCAACCAAAGAGGGAAAACGACATTAACTAAATAAGTATGTATACAAAAGGTATGATAACTCATTGGTTAGTTGGGACAACCCCTAAATTTTTTTTCTAGGTTTCCTCTTAGTGGTTGAAGTCCAAATTTACGATGGGAACCCACAACCACAAGGGTATGCATCATTAACCATCTTATTTGTCTTCGAAACGTTTGAGCTTGAAGATGAGATTATGGATTTGGCAGAACAAGATGAAGCCATCCTAGATGCTGAAGAAGAAGACGATGCAGGAGAAGAAACCCTGGAGTGCTCGCCCCTTATTATGAGCAAAAGCCCTAATTCGATTTAAAGAAATACACATAAATGTCATGTCATTAATTTTAGGTCAACTCACCAATTTCTTAATCCTACACATCAAGTAACCCACAAAAACCGGTTACCATTAGGTGGGATGTGAACAAAATGTATAGTTAGTGGGTGTTTTTTATTCAACACCCTTAGTTGGATAGTATTTTTTTTAAACATTTTTTAAACATTTTTACTCTTATAAGTGATTTTCCCTTAAAACTAAAATTACCGTCGTTCACATCGTTCACAGCTCTCACATCGATCGCTCACAGCTCTCGTTCTTCACCAACGTTCACAACACCTGAAGGCACCGGCGACCCTCTTCCGATCTCCGCTCCAGACCATCGCTGCCGGCGCCGACTGCTACTCTATCTCTGATCTGGTAAGTCCCACCTCCGATCTTGGTTGAAATGGAATTTTCTCGTTCACATTGCATCTGATTTTTTGGTTTGTTTGAATCTTGAACTTAATTCTTGTATGATTTATATTATCTGGCTCCTAGAGGGTGTTCAATTTCTGCATTGGTGTTTGACATACTCTGGTTCGGTAAAGGTTTTTTTTTTAATATGGAATCGTCGAACCAGATGTGTAGCGTAATCTGTGGTGCTATAAAATCTGAATATTTAGCTGAATTCTTGTCTGATTTCTGGTAGTGGTTAATTTCTGGTGTTCTAAAATCTGAATATTAGACTGAATTTGTGTTATAAACTGTTTTCTGGTTCTGGTTAGTTCACTCCGACAGGCAAATGTTGGGATGTTATCCAGTTTTGGGGATGTTGAACCACACATTTATAGCAGGATGGCGCAAGAGTTTGTCTATTTCCCTTCTCTCCTCAAATTCTTCTAATAATCATAATCTTGCTTTCTACTCCAAATCAATCAAACCCAACATTCTTCCTACAACTACGAGCGAACTCAACCGGGACTCTCCTTTGATTGGTAATACTCTTCGTCTTTTTGATGATGTGAAATCGATAAATGTTTATGATGCAATATTCTCTAGGTCTAGAGTGCGTGATGATGGACTATATTTTTGGGAAGAAGAAGGCCACACAAGTTGTTCACTCGTAGGTATTTCTTTCATTCTTTGCCTTCAAGCATGATTAACGCTCATCATTTTATGGCTTTTAAATGTTTCATTACTCTTAAAGAGTGGAATGGAGGGGAAGGCAAAAAAAAAAGGCTCAAATCCCTCTAACTCAAGAACACACTTAATTATTTGTTTTGCTCTTCCATTTCCTTAGTTCCATTCTCCTCCATCCCCTTCCTTTCATTAAAAAACCCGAGAATAAGGCCATAAATAATGTTTCTGTGATGTCCAAAACTAAAGTAATTGCTAGGGTTTTTTTTTTTTTTTTTTTTTTTGTTTGTGTGTGTGTGTGTGTAGCCTACGACAGGCATATATAGTAATCAAGATATGTGTTTTGGAAACTGTGTTATCTAAGATGCATATTCATTGATGAGTTTGAAATGACTCAAGTTATACTGGAAAATTTAAACATTCGGCAAAACAGATAAATGAATTAAATCATATGATGCGAAAAGGGAAACATGCATTTTGGTTAAATCAGAAAAAAAAAGATGGACTATATTATAGAAATTGCCAGATAGGTACGGTTGATGATAATCTTTCTTATCCTTAAGGGCCAGTTTTGCTGATTCATGATTCATCTGTAGAGGTTTTCCTGGTTATGTTATGGAGCTACAAGCATGGCCTTAATACTTTAACGTCTTGAAACTTGAAAGTACTATTGAGGAACTTGGAGTTAGAATGAAAGTGTAATGTAAGCTTTTTGTTTATTGCCAAAATGTTTCTTGGATTTATTACGAATCATGATCATATAAGGAGTCATGGAATTTCCTAGATACAAGTAGTTACAAGATGCCTATAGATTCCACTAAAGTTTTTGCAACATTACTCTTTTTTGAAATTCTGCTAGCACTTTTTGGGGAGGGGGAAACAGTTTAGTACCAAGAAGTCTTCCCCTACCTCATCTAGGCTCTTATTTAGGCCTTGAAGGAAATTCAAATTTCTATCTTTGTTAGGCACGTTGAGGACAACTAAGTTTGTAAACAAATCCATTTCCTCCTTGGCTAGTGTTACAAAAAGTTGATTCAATCTCGAAAAACTTAAGCGTTTTCAAGATCATTGTACATCTCTTGAATAACTTTCCAAATCTTGTGGATTGTGTTTGTGGGAAAATAACCCCTTAGGGTTTGCATTATTATTTCATCAGTAATATAATACAATGTGTAAGATAATTACATAAAGGACTCCTAGACTATATAATATATATGAAACCTATACTAAACATAGGAAAATAAATAATACAATTAACACTCCCCCCCTCAGTTTGAGCAGGAGGTTCCCAAATGCTTAAACTGTCCCGAAAATCCAAAAATAATTGTTTAGGTAGTCCTTTAGTAAAAATATCTGCAAACTGATGAGCGGAAGAAACATGCAACACACGAACTTGACCAATACCAACACGTTTCCTGACAAAATGCAAATCTATTTCCACATGTTTGGTTCTTTGGTGCTGAACTGGGTTAGAAGCTAAGTACATGGCACGCACATTGTCACAAAATACAACCGTAGAGCAAGTCAAAAGACAAGAAAACTAAAGAAGCAGATTTCAGAGCCAAGCAGTTTCAACTACATTGGCCACCCCCGATACTCAACTTCGACACTAGACCTAGACACAATGTGTTGACGTTTGGTGGACCATGGAACAAGATTATCACCGAGATAAACACGGAACCCAGATGTAGACCGGCGTGTCAAGGGACAACCAACCTTGTCAGCATCATAATAAGAAACCAAACGATCGACATGAGACAGATGGATGAACAGACCGTGGTGAAGTGTACCCTGAAGATAATGCAGGATACGCTTAAGGGCTAAAAAGTGTGGTTCATGAGAATCATGCATGAAGAGGCATACTTGTTGAACCGCATAGGTAATATCCGGACGAGTGAATGCCAGATACTGTAAAGCCCCAAACAAGACTTCGGTAGAGGGTTGGATCAGAAACCGGCGTCCCAGATGATGAGAGTTTCGTTTTTGTGTCCATAGGAGTGCTACAATGATTGCAAGAGGTCATACCAGCTCGGGATAAGATCTCCTTAGCGAACACAGTCTGGGAAAGAAACAAACTGTCTGAGGAACGAGTAGCAGTAATGCCGAGGAAAAATGACAAGGACCTAAGTATGCTATGGAAAACTCAGATGAGAGATGTGTGATGACTCTCGTGATGAGAGACGGGTTGGAAGCCGTGAGGATAATGTCATCAACATACAGAAGAAGATAGATAGTCTCAATTCCACGGTGAAAAGTGAAAAGAGAGGTATCCGAGCGACTGTCCCAAGGGAAGAAATGTAGACAGCGAACCGCTGATACGAGGCACGAGGAGCCTGTTTAAGACCATATAAGGCCTTGCGTAGGAGACATACGTAATCGGGATATGTAGGATGAACATTTCCAGGTGGCTGTTTCATGTAAACCTCTTCTGTTAAATCGCCATGAAGAAAGGCGTTTTTAACATCGCGCCGATGAATCGGCTCATGACGAGAGACAACAATACTAAGAACAGTACGAATGATAGCGGGTTCAACAACTGGACTAAATGTGTCATCAAAATCTAGACTAGGTTGCTGAGAGAAACCCTGTGCGATTAACTTGCCTTTGTAGCGATGGAGGTTAGTACCGTGAAAGTTAAACTTGTGACGGTAGAGTCATCGACAACCAACAATATTGGCAGTGGGAGGGTGAGGGACAAGATCCCATGTGATTGTCAGTGAGGGTTGGCATTTCCGTATCCATGGCTAACTTCCAATTCGGATCACTCATAGCCTGAGTGGTGAATCGAGGAATAAGGGAGAAGTCGGGAGTATCGGAGAGATTAAGAATTGTATGCGGTTTTAGGGAACCTGTTCTAGAGAGAGTAGTCATGGGATGACCACCTGTTGTAGGAGGAGACGGATTAGGAGATGGAGAAGTAGTGTTGACAACTGTGGGGCTGTCTACTCAGTTGGGAGGGAAGGAAATTGATGGAGAAAGGAGAGAGGGAGGGGGTCATCATCAGGAGTAAACTGATCATAGTTAGATTCGGAAGGGGCAGGGTGAAAGGCACAGTAAGGGAAGTGATCTTCATCGAATATGACATGACGGGAGATAATGACGCGTTACGTGACAAGAACGAGACACTTATGTCCCATATGATCCGGTGCAGGACCAAGATAAACGCACGCAGTGGACCTAAGAGAGAGCTTATGACGGGAGGTAGAAGATGTGTTAGAATAACACAAGCAACCAAAGACACGAAGGTGATCATATTTTGGAAATAAACCAAAGAGAACCTCAAAGGTTGCCTTTAAAGGAAAGAGTGGTAGTGGGAAGAAAATTAAGAGTTTGAACAGTTGTGAGAAGTGCTTCGGCCCAAAAGGTGGGGGCTAAAGACGCTTGGAAAAGAAAGGTGCGAACAGTGTTGGTTATGGTACGAATTGATCGTTATGCTTTTACATTTTGCTGAGACGTATATGGGCAAGAGAAACAAATGGAGATCCTATGAGATTAGAGATAGGTAAGAAGAAGATGATTATTAAATTCGCGTCCGTTGTCACACTGAAAAGATTGAATGTCAGTTTTAAATTGATTTTTGACATACATTCTAAAGTTACAAAAACAGAATATACCTCGGACTACGCGGAAAAACCCATAGAAAATGCAAAAAAATCATCTAAAAAAGAATATAATATTTAAAATCATTCAAACTGGTGACATGAGATGTCCATAAATCCAAATGAATAAGTTCAAATACATGCGAAGTTTTAGACAACGAAGAAGTAAAAGACAAGCGACAATGTTTTCCAAGTTGACAAACATGACATATTGGAACTTTATTAGTACTACTAAAAATAAAACGACACGACTGCAAAAACTTGAGAACCGAAGATCCGGGATGGCCTAAACAACGATGGCAAGTGAGAAGGGACACTGTTGTGAGAGCTTTAACCGAAGCCGAGGGAATGGAGGAGGGGGTACACGGGTACAAATCACCAACACTATCGCATCGTAGGAGAAGAGCATCCGAATCAAAATCCTTTACAATCAAAATCCTTTACAGAAAAACCAAAGGGGACAAAATCCCAATTATCAGTTGTAAATTTACAAACAAACACTAAGTTTTTGATCATTTGATTTGACACTAAAACATTTTAAGAGAAAATTTGTTATTAGAATAAGGAAGAAACGCTTGACCAATGTGAGAAACCGGAATAATTGCACCATTACCAACAATTATCGATTTAGAGCTACACGGTGAGGCCATGACCTCGGTAAGATCCAACTCCTTCAAGTCTAGCCTCACATAGACTTCACACTTCCTTTTCGGGCCTCCTTTCCTCCTTGCGCCATTAATAATGAACGTCTCCACCCTCCAACCGCAACAACTAGTTCTCTCCAATGCACTTTGTCTAAACCACCACAATTCTAAAAGGGAAATAATTGAGTAGTTGTAGATTATTCCGTGCAAGTTATGTTTGCCATCAAGATAGTTTTTTCTAACAAGAATGGATAGGATGAGACTCAAATTAATGAAAGAGTCAATAAATGAAGTCACGAGAAACAATAGGGAATATATATATATATATATATATATATATATATATATATATATGTGTGTGTGTGTGTGTGTGTGTGTGTGTAGGTAGGTAGGTACGCACGTACGTATGCTGTATGCCATATTTGTGCCTTATAAAAGCAGTTTGCTGAATGCAGTGTTTGGGAACATGTTGTCCAGAAAGGGGATGCAGTTGTGGATGCCACTTGTGGAAATGGTTACGATACCTTGGTGATGGTGAATATGGTGGCTGATAAGTCACGTGCTGGCCGTGTTTATGCAATGGACATTCAAGAAACCGCAATAAAGAATACCATGTCTTTGTTGGATAGATCGCTTCATTCTAATGAGGTGACATTTTTCTTTATTTCCCATTATTGGCTTTATCTACCATTACATACATGTCTACAGTAATTTAATTGTTTTGATTCTTTCCAGAAAGAAATGGTAGAGCTATATGCTACCTGTCATAGCGAAATGGAACAAGTTGTTCCAAGGACTGCTACAGTGAGGTACACAGGGCATCTGATGCCTGTAAATGTTACCATATATTAATATTTAAGGACAAAGTTACATAAAGGGTCCTTGTGGTTGACAGAAAATACCACTGTAGGTCCTTTTGAGGAATTTTTAACATGGTTGGTCATTTGTAGTTTTAAAACGCACAGGATCGCCTGTGCTTTCAAAATCTTAAAAAGACGGTCATTTTGGCTAACGGTGTTAACTTTTTCGGTTTAAGTCCCATGTGAAATTACATAGCTAATGTTGTAATTTTGTCTATTATTTATTGTTGTTTAATTTAATTTATTTATATTTTTGTTGACGTTTTGTTCATGTTTTTTTCTTTTTTTCTTTTTTTTTTTTTTTTTTTTTTAATTTTTATTTATTTACATTTTGTTCACTTACATTTTTTTTGACATTTTGTTCAAATACATTTTCTAATGTTTTTTTTGACGTTTTGTTTATTTATATTTGTTAAAGATTTCATGGACATTTTGATCATAATTCGTAACATAATTCACTTACAATCATGTTTTCCTTTTTCATTTTGTTCTTCAGATATAGATAAGGTTATATAATCATTATTTTTTAATTCAAGTATATAACTATATAACACAGATAAGTTTATATAATTATTATTTTTGTAATGCTTTTTATAAACATTTTTTTGTAGAAAAAAGTGTAAAAAGGTTTGTTAAACGTGAAGAGGATTATTATAGATTAGGTATAAAATTATTTATTTTAATAGAATTAATATATAGGCTAATTGGAATCCAAAACGTGTGTCAAGTTATACATCGGCTAATCGGAATCTGTATAACTCGAAAACGAAAAAAATGTCCAACACAAAAAAAAAAAAAAAAAAAAAACTCGAAACGGGTTCAAGTGAATTATGATTAAAGGGTCCATGAAATCTTTAACATATATAAATAAACAAAACATCAAAAAAACATTAAAAAATGGATTTGAACAAAACGTAAAAAAATAGAATATTTTACTCGAACAAAACGTCAAAAAAATGTAAGCAAAAATAATGTAAAAAAACATTAAACAATATATTCGAACAAAATGTCAAAAAAAATCTAAATCATAAATAATATAAATAAATTAAATAAAAAAAATAAAATAAATAATAGGCAAAATTACATAAACGGTCCCTGTGGTTGGAAGGGCAAATATGTCATTTCACATGAGACTTAAACTGAAAAAGTTAACAGCGTTAGTCAAAAGGACCGTCTTTGTAAGATTTTGAAACCACACGACCAGCATTTTAAAAATTCCTCTAAAAGGAGCTGCGATGGATGGTATTACAAGGACCATTTATGTAGTTTTGTTGTAATAGTAGTTGTTCCTTGATAGGGTAGTTGCATTCAACTTGGGATATCTTCCGGGAGGTGACAAAACAGTGATTACTAAACCAGAAACAACCCTATTAGGAATGGAGGCTGCAACCAGAATAGTTGTAGCAGGAGGTGTTATCAGCATGCTAGTTTATGTGGGGCATCCTGGTGGAATGTAATTAATTAATTAAACTTCCTCTTGCTGCATTCTGTTATCAAATATTAAATCATATGATTCATGACATTGATAAGCTTGATTTTGTGCAGGGAAGAATATGAGATGGTGGAAGCCTTTGCTTCTGGATTGCCAGTCGATACCTGGATATGCTGCAAGCTTCAAATGTTGAACCGCCCGTTGGCTCCCATACTCCTTCTCTTATGTAAGAGGTAAAAGACAAAGCACCAAACACTACCTTAAAGGTATAGATCTTGAGTTGATTTAGTGGTTAAGTGAATATTTAACAGACTAAATAAATAACCACTGTCATTAGCCACTATGAATGATGGTTTCAAACATCAAATTTGCCCATGTAAACAAGAAAAATCAATGTTTAAATCCATTGTTTTGAATGAACATATAACTTCACTCAATATCATCAATGGAAAACAAAACATAAATCGATCGCGTTGAGACTCGAACCCACAATCTCCGGCTGTCTATTAGGTCACTTGATCTTTGGCCTTATGACATTGAAAAAAGAGTTTTTATTACATTAATACATAATTTGAGTTTCTACAACCACATGTATTTGTACTCTCTTTTTTACGCAAACTAACAGTATACTTTTATTTTTCTATCATTTGAAAATCCAAATCAAGTTTAAACATAATTAAAGAAAAATATATGTAAATGTTAAATTATATGTATTTTATTATTTGATATATAGTAATAGGGGTCTCATTGTAACTTTGTGTCATATATATTCAAGTGATAATACAACGTAATCCCTAAGGGGTTTTTTCCACCAATCCAACATGGTATCGGAGCTGGCGTCCCGCATCCCCATGGCTCAACACATCATTGTCTATTTGTCTATCCTCATTGAGTCTCCGACTCTGAGGAGAGTGTTAGTGTATTCTACATCGGCGTGACACCGTCTTATAAGTGATTATATATGTTGGAGTTTCCTTCTCTCCACAAATGGGTTTTTTTTAGGCTCCATATATATTTACAGTAAATCTAAAATGTGAAAATCAAGCCCAAATCGAACCCTAAACAAAAACACAATTTAAATGTAATCATGTCCATACTTTAGGTTGACATCAGTTATTTTTGGAAAACACTCGGACAAAACATTTATTTGTGTACCAATCGACATAAACAAACCAATTATTGCGGCAAATATCTTCCATTTTGATGAAACTGACGGTTGTACCACATGGTTTTGTCATCTAAAGGCTTTACATGAATAAGATGAATTCTAAAAAAAAAAAAAAACAAACAAAAAGAGGAAATTTTGAATTAGTGTTTCTAACAAAAGATGAGGTGGTGAGGATTTTTAGAATTTTGAGCTTCATATTAGTAAAACTAATAGAAACACAAATTTGAACCAACGAAAATGACAGGAAGTGGATTCATGTTTCATTTATCCATTGGTTTGCATTTACGAAATTCTGGGTAGCGTGCAACTCCTCTCACGCTCACTCCTCCCCGCGGTAATTTCATTAAAATTAGGGATTATCGTAAAAATTAGGGATTAATTTGAATTGCATGAGCTGTTAACGTAAAAATTAGGGATTAATTTGAATCCATGCATGCATGCATCCGACTAACCTTGCATCTCGAATTTTGTAAGAAAATGTTAAAGAAAAATGTCGCCGCACAATGTCATACAAGATACCATCGTTCGTTATGCTCCATTGATGATCACGTCCCACGAGATTTGGCAAGGACATAATCCTCTCGATTATTCGCTTCCTCTTTTTATTTTACAACTATTGATCGTCATTGTTGTTGGGTTTGTATTAAAAAAATCGTCCAATTTTATTCTCAAAAAAACAATGGAAACATTCTATGTTTGAATAAACTAAAACCATTTTATACTCACCAATGATCATTTTGCAAGAACTTAGAAAGATTAAACATAACCAAAGAAGAAGAAAATATAACAACCTTTGAAGACTTTGGTTCATTTTGACAATTAGAAAGTTGATGAAGATGACTTGAAGCTCTGAGATAAAAGCTTCCTATAATGTATGCACCAAGCAAGATGAAACCACCATTATATGTGATACGTAATTTATATACTAGTTTTTATATTATAAACCAATCTAGACTAGCTAATACGCAAAAGGAAGTGTATCTAATCGAGTAATAGAATAGTTCAGGTAAGTCGGGTTTCGATCACAAGGAACAAAAACGATTAAAAGCTATAATATCTACTAAAGTTAACTAATTTAAACAAAGCAAATGAGGGGGGGGGGGGGGGGGTTCTTGATTTTCCAAGTCCAGAAAACTTAAGAGCAGTTAACAAAAGCAAATTAAATTTAAGAAAAAACAGAAAACGGTTTTTAAGACAATATTTTAAAAAGACCTTCGTTTAGATACGATTCACCTATTATCTATGGTTGATTTTATGGATAGTATAATGGATTTATGGTTCGTTGGTTACCGATTCCTAGTATGATTAGAATTATGATCAAGGTTCTAATCCTTTGATTTAATAAGATTATTTATTCAAAGATCAAGTGGACAAACAACCAAACAAACCCTTATTGAGTTCGAATTATGCAAGACTTGAAATAATTATTGATATTTAATTGTGATAAACACTAAATCTATATATGAATGTTCATCATATATTAGCTACCACATTAATTTACCAACTTGTCTATTTAACCCTAGGTTTTTTATCATAACACTAGTCCTATAATTTCATAAGTCACAAAATCATAAGATTCAACATATCAAGATAGATAGTTCATCTAATCCTAATAAAACTCAACAATAAACATAAAAGTTGATTGTATTAACACAATAGGTTCTTTATCAATCATGCATAATGAATAAGTAACCAATATAAATCCATAATCCTTAAAATCAACACATAGAAGCAAAGATCCTCTACTGTGAACGAAATTTGGGGTTTTTAGCCTATACCTAGTGCAAACAAACAAGTAAAAACGAAATCTACTTTGCAAGACATAATGAAAATAAAGAAAACCAAGTATTTATAAGTAATGTTGCCTTCAAAATCAAACTCTAGTCGAATTCTGGTCTCCAAAGCCTCCAAGGGACGTCTCTGGTCTTCAAAAGTCGGCAATAGCTTAATGCATAAGTTAGGGAAATGAGCAAATATGATAAATTTATAGTTGCCAAAAATTATCTCCCACACTGTGGAGAATAGAGCTCCATGTCGTGGCTTCCACTTTCTTTCCGTAGACTCTAAGCCTGCTTTCCAGATCCCGTATAAACACCTCGCCACGACGTGACAAGAAAATATACACGCCGTGGGAACCTCAAAATCCATAGTTTTTGACTTTGTTTGACTCGATCCAATTCTTCCAACTTCCAGCTCTACATTTTGCTTCATTTTAATCCCGAGCATGTCTTCGCTTCTGCAAAACAAAATTTAAACATTATAAGCATCTTTTTTCCTAAATTAGACACACATGTAGCTAGAAATACTAAGACAATGCACAAAATATATGAATAAATATGACAATATCAAAATACCCCACACTTGACTTTTGTTTGCCGCCTAGAAAAAACTGATTTTTATTACATCATTACATCAAAATGTCAGCCACCAACATCATACAAGAAAATCCAAATTGAACTCATTCATTACACTTCACATCAATACATATATTTGTGTATAATGATTCCTAAGTACTTCCCAATCTAAATACTTACAATCCTCATAAAACACTTCCCACTCATTTTAAACAACATTCATTTTTAGCATTCCTACCACATTTACCCTTTTATTTACCCCCTTTAGTTTCAAAAGTTATTGCCAATTTCCAAGTGAATCGTCTTTAAGAGAAAAATACTATATAATATGATTATCTAAAAATATAACTACACTTTTATTGCAACTTTATTTTTGTGGAACTTTTCTCTTTTCACTTTTTTTTTCAACTTTTCTATTTTTTTTATTATATTTTCTCAATACTTCAACTTTCAACTTTCACATAAGCAAACAAATAACTTTAACTTTAACTTTATTGGTAATATACTATAGTTCGTGACTTTATAAGAAATTCATTGGGGTACTCAGAATTCCTTAGGCCACTATTGTGACCATGTGTAACGCCCTGTTTCGAATCATTTCCCATTTTGGGGTGGTGATAAGGGATTGGGTATTAGCAGCCTTAGGACCCTTGAAGAATTGAGTTTTGGGCTCATTTGAAGGTGGATGATGTATTTTGAATGATTCGGGCATTCGGTTTGTGTTTTGGAGTCAAATGGTATTTCGGTAATTTGTTAGCTCGGGCTTTTATGGAAATTGGAGGTTTGTTCGGAAAACGGTAAGGTATGTATGAGTTGATTAGAGTGTAGAGCTTCTCGTTACCTTTTCATTGATATAAGGATCGTCGGAATCGGATTTATAACGAAGAAGTTATGGCATTCGGAGTCCTTTAGGATTTGAGGGGAAACCCTAGTACGCAGGGCGTACCTAGGGAGTACGCGCAGCATACTGATGCGAAGGGCATTACGTTGGGCATAATGTTGTGTACGCTTAGCGTACTGTGAGGGTCTGATTGGGGTTGCAATACCTCGTACGCTGGGCGTACGAGGAGTATGCATGCGTACGAAGGGAAAAGAAAAATCCTAATTTTTGGATGTATACCCTATATAAACTCATTAAGTTTTTAGGCCTGGCCTCTTTACCAACCTCCAAGGCCCCAAAACCCTAAAAATCATTCGTAAGCCTCCATGGTTGTGATTTTGAGCTCATGGTGTGCATTTTGGTGTTTTTGAGTCATTTCCAAGAAGATGAAGCTTGGTGCAAGGTTGTGGATCAAGGAGGAGCTTGTGGATCTAGAGTATGTGCTTCATTTCCAGTTTGTTTGAGGTAAAAAGCTTTGATCTTGTTCGTTATTGGCTTAGATCTATGTTGTGTAAGTTTTGGTCCCTTTTTGGCCCCAAGAATGAGATCTAGTGGGTTGGTACCACTTCAGGAGCTATGTGTTGCCATTCTTGGTGTTTCTAAGGTTATAGATGCATAAAGTTGTCTCCTTTAGGGTTTGGAATCCCCCAAGCATGAATTGGTGTCCATTTGGTGGAAGTATGATGCTTTATCTTGAAGATTGTCCTTTTGGGGCATGCAAAGTCACCAAGTCAATGGCTTTATGGTTCTAGACACTTGTGTGGACTCAGATCTGTGGTTTGGACTTCTGGACTTAAGTATTAAGAACTTAATGTCGAAATTGGGCACCACCTGATACACATATAATCATATAACCATATAATCATATAAACATATAACCTTACTAGCACATGCAATAACCAGAAAGACTATAGCATACCATACAGTCATCGAGCCCCGCCCGACATTGGGCATCGCCCGGTAAGCATAAAAAACAGATACTAATAACTAGCATACAATATACTCATCAGGCCCTGCCTGACATCGGGCCTTTCCCGGTAAGCATACCATCATACAACACATGTAAGAGTCATGCACACATCTAGCATCCTAACATAT